TTCCCCTTAAAACTTATTTATTTTATTTTTAAAACTATTTATTTTTCAAAAATCTTAGCTGCATATTCAGAATCCTTGGATCCTCTCGAAAAATCAAAAGAATAAATTTAAACAAATAGAATTTCAATAAAAATATTAACTTCTCATAATTTACGTCGATTATTGTATATTTTGATTATAGAATCGATTAGGATATTTACTAATATTTATGAATGGAGATGTAGAAAATATCGTTAAAATCGATAGATTTAATTGAAACTGGCACACTATTGATATAGTTTCTTCAGTGGAAACATTTTAATTGAAAATATTCTTCTACGGGTTACACGAGCTTGGCCATAGATCAAGGCGTTTATAGAGAGGCGAGATTGTTAAGTCCCGTTTCCAACGTCTCGACTGTCGCGCATCTCGAAGACAAGTTGGCACATTCTTCTACTTGTTTTAATTAATTAACGACGACAAGCTTGTGGAAATGTGTAGATACTTGATATCGACAGTTGATATCGACATTGATCCTTGATATCGACAAAGGAAACGGTTCGGGAAATAAAAGATCCTTCGTTTGTCTCGAATTTCCAGTGATTTTAGATATGTAGAAGTCACGTTAATCACGTTTAAACCTCGTCGATACCTCGAACGCGATATCGAGGATTATCGTCGAATTTAAGATACGAAATCTTGCGGAACACAAGGGAATTAATAGAGTATTGATTGTAACAATGATATGCTCCGTAAAGTTAGCCATGTATATAATATTAACTTGTACTCAAGTATCCTCGTTTCAACCTTTCTATTTGCCTCGCTCTCTTCCACTATTCGTAAATTTGTTTAAACATTAAATCACAAATTTCCGAGATAATACGTGTCTTTTGTTTCAAAAGCAACGTTACACTGTTGTGTCTTTGTTAATGTATCGTGTAATAATAAAAATTAATAACGAAGTTGAGGCTCTTGTATTCAGGTACTCCATCCCTGACTCGTTAGAGTATTTCACTTTCGAAAAAATAGAAGATCGAGGGAGAAATAACTTTCGATCGAGATACACAAATTCGATCGTCTTTTGCATAAACAATGACAAAAAATTACGAAAAAAATTGGTAATTGGTATATATATATTTCACACAAATATCAATATTGAATCCTCTGAATTTCAATGAGTATCTTATGTCAAGTGACAATGTTATGATCAATACTAATTTTGAACACTACAAATTTGTTCATTGTCAATTCAAATAATTATATGAAATTTGGAATATTAATTTTGAGAAAATAATTACGTAGTATTGTATTATATTACAGTAATATTATATTAGTATAATATTATATTAATGTTATACTAGTATAATATTATATTATACAATATTGTGACGAATACTAATTTGGAACACTACAAATTTTTTCATTGTAAATTCAAAAAATCATATAAAATTTTGAATATTAATTTTGGGGAAATAATTACGTAGTATTGTATTACGTTACAGTAATATTATATTAGTATAATATTATATTAATAATGTTATATTAGTATAATATTATATTATACAATATTGTGACCAATATTAATTTTGAACATTACAAACTTTTTCATTGTAAATTCAAAAAATTATATGAAATTTGGAATATTAATTTTGAGAAAATAATTACGTAGTATTGTATTATATTACAGTAATATTATATTAGTATAATATTATGTCAGTATAAATCTTTGGAATTTTCCAACTTCCTCGAATTGACAATTTTAAGTACCAATTTTAATATTCTAATTTAAAATAAAATATCAAATGAATTCCAAAAATTATAAAAATAATTCTCAATATAATATAATATTTGTTATACAGTATATACGATAAAATTTAATTTTTCTTTTCATTTTTCACTGCGTATTAATCCCAAATATAGTGAGAAAAGAATTGACGATTGAATTTGTGTGCTTGACCGTTTTATATTGAATTTCATCGTAGACGAATACGTTTGCATCGCGTAATCAAAAAAAGAAGAAAAAAGAAAAAGGAGGGAAATGTATTGCAAGCATATTCGACTTCGACGAAAGTACCAGTGTTATAAACTTCATGCATGGTTTGCGAATCACGCGGATTATAGTCCATTCGACTTTTCAACAACATTTATCAGCGATACGCTTCGTATTTACAATAACTACTATTCTTCCATCACAGATATTTATACAATGTAAAATTACGATCCAGATAAGCTACGATCAACGGAAAAACACGACTAGTTGAAGATTTACAGTGATTATTGAAAAGTGGCTCGCTGCGGTACCAAATTGATTTTTCATTCGCGTGAAATGTCCGCGTGGAATGTGCTAGAACACGTTCAACGCTGTCCACGTATCATGTTCTACTGTTCTCGTCAGTATACAGACAGAGTGGAATTTAATATAGGAGAGAAATGTTAAATTACGCGAAAATAAATTGCGGTTTTCAGTGGTCTCACATTTAAAGCTTCGTACGTAACGAATTTCGAATTTGTGTTTAACATACGATATAATATTACACAGAAGAGATATCGTATTATCGTTTAGAGGTTATGTTTCCGGCATTTACGTCGACGATAGAAAGGTGTAAACAGAATCGACATGCGCGCGATCGATGCGCCGTTCGATATCATGTAAACGTGGCTTGCGCAGCGCCTCTGTCGGCGTTAAGGTGAACGAAAAATTTAACGAAGAGGATGCATTTTTCTTCAGTTTTTTAAAATTAAATAGTCAAATTATTGCTATCTTGCCGTAATACGATGTAATAGAAACAAATTTGGATAATTTTTTGCGTAAATTTAAAATTATATCGAAACAAAATGCAATCGTATTTTGGTAGTTACCAATTTTTCGCGACGCAGAATCTTCGATATTTTATTAAACTTCAATTGAAGAAATTGTATAAATAATCGTAACAATTATTGTTTTAAATAGAAATATACCATTTTAAAAATAGTTTCTAAAAACCACAATTTATTCGCAGACAAGCTAAGAGGTATAATAACATCAGGAAGCATTATGCTGCACGAAAAATAATTTCAAAATTTTGAATTTAGATACGGCCAACAGTGAAATAAAGATTATTATAATACGAGGTTAAATCTTTTTGAGATTGAGAAAGGCATAATGAAGATCATTTTGATAATTGGATAAAAAATGAAAATTACGAAGAATTACACGTTCTACTTTTTCAGCTGATTGAAGCTTATCACTAATATTGTTATTTAAAAGGAGAAAAATGTATAAGGAATATTATTCTATATCTTTGGCTGATAATTCTTGCGCGAAGAACATCTTGCTTTATTCTATTATTTTGCACATACTATATATACTGCATTTCAATCTGATAAGCACTTTGTCGTTAAATTCCTCACTGTATACAGACATATAGAATCGAAAGTGATAAATCCCTTCATTTTTCTCTGTACACTTCTCACCTTGTAATCTTCCAATCTCGAACGATTTTATTTTTATTTAAATCAAACGAAACAACACGGGATAATGGAACGTAATGAAGCGTAACCTACCTAATTTAATAAATAATCTGTTTACCCGAACGAATCGACACGAATATTAATTTTCTCCACACTCACTACAATGATTTCAATGCCACAATTATTAGACAGTAACACTAAAAGTATCGCCAAGAACGGCGGAATGAACATTTTTGGATTACATCTAAATACATTTTTACTGATATGCGCGTTTTCAATATGCGGATAAACTTCACACACGAAATGAGGTTAAGAAGTACCCCGGTCGGTAACCGTGGATTGCAACGTTACCAACAGAGCTTCGCACAGAAACGTGACGATACGATATATAAATACGTCTCCCTCTATATCTAGATTTCGACAAATAAAATTGATCCACCATAAATAATCAACGAATCGGCGACTAAAAAACACACACCTCCACGATATAGCACTGCACGTTAAACGATAAGAAAATCCTCTCGCAAGACATCTCCAGGGACAGAATAAAAATTAGGTTAGGTCTAGGAGCCGATCGAAGGCATTATGTCATTACCCTACTGATTGTCAGATACAATCTTCGACCTCAGCTGCTAATCCCCATCTCTACTAACTCTCTTCTTTAATATCAATGTTCGTTTTGAACTCGCGTCTCAAGGAGTATAATACTGCTCGATTGAGCTAGGCTAACTAAAAGTCACTGATCAAAATCCCTTCCCAGCTTCGTCGACTACTCTATACCCCGTCAAGATTCATCATCGAAGATGTTAGCAACAACGTCCACCTGTTTAACGTCGTCTCTCGACGATGTATACGTCTCGATGACAGTGATCAGGTAAATTAAAACGATAGGAGTTTCGTCCCATAAGCTCTACCCTCGTGTGCATCCCAGAACGATCCAGCGTCGCAACGAAAAAATTCCAACTCTCGATCACGGCTCTCGTTCAAGTGTGCTTCTCGTGACCGAAATGTACGATATTTCTTTCTGCTCTCTTTCTCTCTTCGTTCGAGGTATCCACATTTCACGGATTCGACGTAAACGTACATTGTAATCCACGGATCGAAGTACGGGGAAAACGGACATTACTGTGACGACGAGCGAGAGTGGACAGAAATGGACGGGGTTGAAAACACATTGGCTCGTGTCCGATATAAAACGACGTCGTTCGTTACTGGCTGCAGGAAATATTGGACATCTACTTTCGAAGAAACTCGGGGAATATCAGGATACGCTCGCTGGTTAAGCTCTGGATTACAACCTCGGTGGAATATTTACTCCTGTTCTCGAATGTCGAAATTCTCGAGATGTCGAGAATGGTACAGCTCGGTTCCTACCACCGCCTTATATTTTTAAGGAGACTCGATTACTCGTTTGCACGTGGCGAAAGGTGAAACCCGACATAAATGCTTCTGCTAATCGCGGTTGCAGATTCGACTCTCGGTGCGGATCTTTTTTCATTTTCTTTCACTTTTTTTCCTTTTTTTACCATTTTCCTTATTATCTAGAAAATAGCTCGAGGATAAGACAGGGATAATTACGTTACGTATCGAAGTTTGCTTGATAGTTAGGTTCACTTTGTGGATGCGTGGCTGACGGAGGGTGGCAGAATAATTAAGGTTGAACTACTTAGCCTGGATGTTTTTGGCTCGATCTCCAAGGACTTGTGGTAGAGGTCCTTCTCGTCCAGCAGCAACGACGGGTCCAGCAGGTAATTCGTTACCTTCGTTATCAGTTCTATTTTGTACGGTGTCTGCTGGAAGTGCCGTATCTCTCTAATCACGTGGGCAATCTGCAAATAAATTGCACGAATTTCTTTAAAATTCGCGCACTTTTCTTATCTGACGGTGAAACATAGTGCAAATGTCTCTGCTATGGAATTTATAGTGGCGTGATTCTTTCCAGTGTACTTAAACATTCTCCGATGTAATTTTCTACGATCTAGCATCCTTATTGCATAATCATTAGTGGACAAATATTCCTGCGCCTAGTAATGGTATTAAATTAATAACTGAGAAAAAGTAACGAGAATAATTTATCACTAGTGAAAGATAATTCTTAATTAACAAAGCTTGATATTATATAATAGTATTATAAATATTTTAGTTATGTATAATTGTGAATGTATAATAAGCAAAAATATTCACCATTCGCATTTTGGAGAAATTTAAAAGGCCGTCTTCGGTCATTGTTGGTGTACCCTCTTCGATGAAAGAGAGATCGGTCAGATACAAACCTAAGTAAGGTATGCAAGGTGGGTCACAACGATGCAAAGCATCTCGTAGATTTCTAAAACGGCCATCTGATGACACGATGTTTTGTAGGCTGTCGATCGTTTGTCTCGTCTGTAAATTAATCACGTAAATTTATTATAGCCCACACGTGCTTAATAACGAATTCTTTTTGTTCTTAAACACCTTTGAAATTTACGAGGCACGCTATTCCAGTTATTTAAATAATTTATAAAATAAAACATTTCAACATATATTTCAACATAACATATATTCATTTACAAAATAAAATATACTAGGCTATGTGATAATAATTATGAATGCAAAATAATCAAAATAATACGAACAAGGCAAAATCGTGGGGTAGGTTCATCGTTTTCGAGAAATTTAATTTTGAAAATGACGTCGTTGCGAATACATTCAATTACAATGTTTGAATAAGAGAGGAATATTAATGTCGGACTAGTATAAGTTTGGAGAAATTATTTCCAAAGAGATTACCGTTTTGGACACCTTTTCCCAGGTCTTTTTCAATCTGTAAACACTGGTGTTTGTGAAGGCTGCGCAGATCTGCAGCACGCCATTGTAATTGTGCAAGACTCTGCTAATGTGTGCAACTGCAGCCCATTTCTCGATCGCAGCGACCCTCGCTGACATGTTGGAACGTCGAATAATCTCTGAAACAACCAACTGCGACACTTCGTTGAATCTCTTTGTCATTAAGAGAATGTGGGGAGCTCGCGTAGCCTTGTCAGTTTTCATCCACGCTTGGCCAAGGAATTCCCTGCACAAAAATGGCGAGTTAAACAAACTTTGTTCAAATATAAATTGTCATTTAATAATAATAAATAGGACACGTCTTTTAATTATTAAAACATTTATGTCACGTGATACGCGATCTTAAATATTACCCTTGTGAACGGCACTGAAATGGATATTTACTTTTCAATAAGAATTGCAATGAAAATTTTCGTATTTTCTATAATATTCTCACTATTGGGAGCAGTATATATTTTCCATCGCGTAACTTACTCGCTAGAGATGGATACGAAAATCTTGTGATCCAGGTATGTCATTTGCTCTGCGATTTCGAGAGCGGATAGAGTCTCTATGCTCTCCCTCGTTTGTACCTGAAATCACAGGAAAATTTTCTAAGTGGGGATCAAGTAAAAATTCTGTGGAATATATCCATCTTAATATCGAAGTTTATTATTGAATTAATACTTATGTGTAGAAACGTATGAAAAAGAATTATTCTGTGATGGTGGATGTTAAATAATTTGGGTCCTTGTTTACCCAAGCAATGGTTTAGGTGACGATGAGTATATACAAATCAAGGGACGCTGATAATAAGGACATAAACCAGTCCTCCACTTGACCTGGGACATTGCGGTCCTAGGGCCGCAACACTACATATATGTAGGATATTTTTAGACACCGTTAAGGCACGATGATCGAAGCGTTCCTACAGGGAACACCTCGCCAGGTATAGAGGTCCCGTTAGAGTCTGGCGGTCAGATAAGTCATAGGAAGTCGGGGCCAGGCCAAGTGAGGTAGGAAACCTCGGTTTCCTCCATTGTAAACTGAGGGCCCCGCGTGGGTAACCCTTCGGAGGGCCTAACCTGTAGGAGGAATCCTTCTACCCCAGAGTCTTGCGTGGAGGGAATTTTCTCCTCCTTCGGGGGAGGCCCTTGCCTTCCAGACGGGCTTAACACGTTGAGTGCGGCGCCGATCTTGCTATACTTTCCGCTCAGGCGGCAGCTAGCGAGCACTTGATGCCGAGTGCTCAAGTATACCGAAGGGTATGAACAGAAGATTACTTTGTTTCACTTTGTCGTTTGGACTGTGAGAATGGTACAGCCAATGCACAAATATACAAATTATAAACAGAAGATAATGGGGTGGGGAATGCCAGAAAGCAAAAAGGCGATCACCAAGAAACGATCAGTCGAAAAAAGCCACGGAAGTGTAAAGATTTACTTTAGCAGAGGGAATTAAATTTTTACGATATATTAATTGTCATTGATAATTTAACCCTTGACAATGCCAGTCTTACGCACCGATGATGATCAAACGAAAAATTCGCTGTCAGTCCCTGGAATCAACACCGTCCAAACGAAAAGTCTACTGTCAGTCCCTAGGGACTGACGTAGCACTCAACGTGTTAAAGGGCCTACTCTGGAAGGTAGAGTGAGAGCTAAGATAGTCTTAGAGCGAGCGTTATTGAGAATTGTGATTGCGAGTTATGGTAAAGTGTTGCGTTCAGTGAGAGTCGAGTCGAAAATACAGACTGAAACCAATCCAGTCCCTATTCTGCAGTAAATCTGAGTATCCGAAGTACTCTCCAGCGAAGTAGGGACTGTGTGACTCTACATATATAAATATAAATATCTAAAATTATACAGTGTCCCCACCGTATCCACTGACTACTATTCCCTTGCGTGATAACCCCCTAACATAAATTAATCTCGATTATAATTGCTAATTATCTATATATAGTGCATACGTACAGTCGGTGGAGACAACAGTTTCTTGAGGTCCACTTTGTTACTTTCCGGCTCTTCCTTCGTGATCAATCTGAGCAGCTGGCTGGCTGCTTTATGCTCAGCTGGGAGGAGATTAGGGCAGTAGATGATGTCCTCGAGGAACTCGATCGTCAGGTTCTTCAATCTCTGGTCAGACTCGAAATCTTGCGCATGTTTGGAGACCCAGTGTCTGAGAACGTTCAACACTCTCATGGTGGCTGCTGTTGACATAACCGACTCCTTCCGCCTGTTCTTGTCCCGGCAAGAACCACTGCGATTCCCATCGATGCATTTGTCTGGAGGGTTGCTCGAGGCGGATGTTGCAATTGCAAATGCAGCTGCAGCCGTGTGGTTGCTGGACCTAGATACATGGAAGGTGGCATTAGTGATTTCCTCGTTTTATAGATTTTTATTTGTACGTGATGCATCTATAGTATTGATCTCTCCCTACTTTTATGGTTATTCCTTCGAATAGTACGACGAATCGAATTTATATCCTATGTTGTTCATGAATGGTATTTGTTTATAAGTTCATATTATTCAAAGGAATGATCATGTTCGATTGGTTAATTAATTAGTAATTTGTTAGTTATTGTTAATATGATTCATTTACCTAGTTCATTCGACATACGAAATTTGGTTCGTTGACCTTATTCGTGAATGAATCTTCTTCGATAATTGAAGTTTCTCTTGGTTTAAAAGTAAAATGTTCGGAAGTACTTGTCGTTTAGGATTTCGAATTTTCATTCAAATGAATTTTTATTTCTAGTCTATTTTTGCTGCGGTTTAATAGCCAGTGAATTTATGTACGACGTTGTTGCATTAAAATATGTGTTTAAGTATTGGTTCTCAATTGTTTGTTATGTTTTTTCGAATATTATTAGTTGTTTATTAATTTGATTTCATATTAAAACTTGCTAATGAAGAAATTATTTATTATAATATTATATTAGTTTACCAGATTGCTTTTTAGAAAAATAAATAAATTTAACTTATGGAAGAAATTGTTAATTCGATGACATAAATAATTCGATAATAAATACTTGCTATATGAACCTAATATATTAAATATTTTTCTAATACGTTAAATATTAAATATTTTTATATTTCTTTTATATAAATTATTATATTTGACGTAAAGTTGGCATTTTTATAATAAATGACTTAGAAATTTTTAATTGCTCATTTTTAAATCATTTACTAGGTCGTTGTGAAATAAATAAAGAAAGAACGTTAAATTTTATCTTCTTTGTGCCTTCCACAATTTTATGACACCTAACTTATTGGACAATAATAAACATCTAAATAAGTGTAATAAACAGAACACATATCTCTTTTTTCATTATCTACAAACTACTCAGCACATAGTAAATAAAGTAAATTCTACTCTATATACCTTTTCTACAAATCATTCGAAATACGCTGAATCTTGCAATTTCTCAAAATAAATTGAAACAAATTCGCGATTTTATCTTAACCTTCTGCTCCCTCAAAATCACCACGAATAAATTGACTAAAATATCGCAAGTACTAAATAAATAACTAAACAGTACGTAGATGCATATCTCAAAATCACTATGAACGAATTAACTGAAAAGTCACCAGAGATATCTCGTATACTAAATAAATAACTAAATTGTACATAGACAAATAACATTTTAATTATATTCCATAATTGATTCGTATAATCATTGAATCAAAAATTATTTTATAACAAAATATCGTATAATATCGAAATAAAATCTCTCTCATCGAAATACTGGCAGATAAATCAGCCTATTGCGAATGATTCTTCTAATCTAAAATCTAACGTGCACTAGTGTGCTCCTTGCTGTCTATTTAATCAACAAATACCGACTAATGCAATAGCTGTATCCAGTTGCTGTAGTAATTATAATCATAGTGAGCACTGTCACCACGAACGACAAGTAACACAAGGCGTCTAACAATTCGAAACTATTTCTATTTCGTTTAGCTCGCCCATGATGCAGGGTAATTAATACAAATAAATGAAAATATAAAATATTTAGAAAGTTTCCTTGTATCTTACAAGGTATCGATACAGCTTTGATTATTTTCGCAAAACAAAAGATACGAGATTTATAGTAGGGCCTGAAGCGATGTTATGGTATCACGATATAAAATTTTGGTTTCAAAACAGGAGATTGTAATAAATCAGGTTCAGGCTTCCATGCATTCGAAATTTTGTCCATTATTAAGAAAATATTCCAAATAGAATGTGCGCAAAGTTACAATGGTTAAAAATTTAAAAAATATAAAGTCGATATCTCCTTCCCCTACCAATCAGAAGAATTATTTTTGTTCAATTTGTAGAACAATCTTTTAGAAATAAAAATAAAATTCACATCAAAACATGTCCCTAAAATTGAACCCTCATTGAACATTTCATATATTTCTTATTTTATTAAGAAATTAATATTTACATATTTATATATTCTTTCTGTTATATATATAATACATAAAATATTCTGAAATTGTATTGTTTTATTTTAAGTAAGTTCAGCTTCTCTTAATGCAAGGAAGAGTATTTCAGTAGAAGTACAAGATTCAAATTTCAATTTGTTCCTTTTTGCTTTGCAGTGTGCTTCGAGTGAATGCAAGCAGCAAAACGACGAGAGAGCATTCAAGTGAGTTGGTGAAACAAAGCTCGCCATGCATCATACAGAGTGGAAAAATTGCAGTGTTGCAGAAGCAGAAATGATGACACTTACCAGATAGGTTCAGGTCCAACGCTATAAGTGACACAAAACGTCATATGAAATACAATTGCATTGAAATAACTAAAATATTATCCTGTACTGAGAAATTAATTTCATGAGTTACTCGTGGGACGTCATACTCGAAATAGCGGACAAATGCACAGAAAATAAGCGCCTCGATTTACGAATAGAAACGATTCGCATTACCATTGGAACCAACGTCACGTTACTTGAAAAAAATATACACGTTACTAACATATCGTATATAAGAAATGATATCAAATGCACGTGATCACGAAAATTCATTTCAAACAAATTTTCTAAGCAATATGACAATATGTTTGAACAGGTAGAGGTCTCGTGTCCATGTTTCTCCGCTGAAAGGCGTGAACGATCACAAAAGATGAGAGATCACGAGACGGATATTTTGAAATTCTCGATTTGAGAAATTAAACAGCGTGGAATAGAAGAAAGTATACGAAATAAAAGTGAAAAAGAGAATAATACATGATGATTGTTAATCACAAGGAAAATAAGATGGCCTTGTGGTAAGAGTAACGTAAGATACACACAAACTGTTCAATCGTTACGTATGCAGTATTTCATAAATAATTAGAAAATAGTATTGTTCAAATAAAGATAGAAAGATATCTCTGTCTACGAAATAAATAAATAAAGGAAGATTCATTGTAGGCGGAAGAAAACACGTAAGAATACCGAGACAAAGCACTCATGCGTAAGAAAGTGAAAAATACCTTTATTACAATCAACATTCAATAGCGATACCGTGAAACGAAATAGAGATAATTTTTTTTTTCTATTTTCTCTCTTCTGCTTTCCTCTGTGGTTTCTAAGATACAAACGCCTGTACAAATCAGTTTCTTAATTATATTCGAGGTACGCGTAATTCCGATAGAGACATCGATCGTCTTCATCGATTGGCTCGATGCGTCTTTACTGCCCACGATGCTGCTGCCCTCTACTGTCTTCCTCGAGCGAACACAGTAGACGACCACGAACGTTGCTCGATCTCATATATCGTACAATCTCCGAGAGAATGAAAACCTCAGATCGATCGACATGCGCACTCTTTTTCATGATGTGTACAACAATGTATGGATGTAAACACTTAAACACGTCAGGAATACTCGAACGAACCTTCGTTTACTCTGCCGGAAGCTGGTTATCACTACTCCCACTTTACTGGAGACCTGGTCGTGCTGGAAGTTGCCTTGTTGGGATGACATTTCAGTTTCTTGAATCGATCGTCTGCTCGCCCAATAATTCTACGAAATGAAATGACACGATCAATAATTTCGTTAATTTAATTAATAGAAAACCTATCGCTGATAAAACTGTTCGCTGCGACCTATGTAGAAAATAAGTGGAAAATATGGAACAAAATTTTTCATACTGAACTTTCTTCTTTTGGAAGAAGTTACCTATTATTATTTATCGATTCGCCATATTTAAACGCAGTTGGGTAATATTGTATTGCGAGATAGAAGTTATGGTCGTTTTTATAAATAAATAAATTAGGATTGTGAACTATAGCTTCGTGTAGAAAAATTTGTTGTCATATTTTTGACTTATTCTTCCATGTGGAATTACTCTATTTCTGATTATATTACAAATTATGGGGTGCTTTTACAGAGATTGTGGCGTGTTATGTTCTTTGTAATTTTCTGAAATAATTTTCAGTAAAACTTGTGTTGTATTATTCACTATAGTAGAGCCATCTATATCTCAATTAGCCTCACATAGGAGCCCTCTATAGTCCAGGCTGTCACCTAGCAACAGAGGCCTTCTTATGTCACAAATAACGACTTTCTTTATTTAGAGCCTTCCTTTGTTCTAACTATGATGAGGGGTCATAAAACTCTTCTACAGAATATATTCGAAAACTGGAATAATTCGACTACATTTTATTACTTTTCTCCTCCCATGTCTAAATAAAAATTAAATTTCTAAATAATTTTGTTTCAAGGAAAAGAAATTATTTTAGAAAAATTTGTCATTGGAATATAGAATTTTGTAATTTGTATTAAATATCTAAAATATTTTAGATGGAAAATATGTGAAGGAACCATTTCTCGACATACTCCAGTTATAGTTGAAATCGAGCCACTCCTTGTGGTGGCCGCAGGAGCTGAAGCAATTGATGATCTGTGTTCGTTATAGTGATGATACGGTGGCTTTTGCTGATTATGCGGTGGAGACGAAGGCCGCGCAGCTGAACTGCTGCTTTCAGTTTCCTTTGTATGTTGTTTCTCCTTCTCTTGTTTACTGACTTCACTTTCGCTTGCTTCCATGGTTTTCTCTTTGGGTGTCGTAGGTGTCATCGTTGGTGTTTCTTCCTTTACTTGTCGTGGTGTTCCAGGATCGGAGTCGTCGTATGTAAACTGACCATCTGGAAATATTTTACATTTACAATGAAAATTTTAATTTAATGACACGTGAAAATTGTTAATAAAAATACTAGTTGTATAATATTATAATTGTAATTGTAATTTAATTGTAATTATAATATTTTGAAACTATTTAATAAAATTATTATTCCTTAGTAACAAAATCTTTCTTAAAGTAACTTATTGGTTATGTCTGTTTTAAAAATTTGTAGAAATAGTATATTTTATTGTTTGGAACTTGTGAAAAAGATTTTCAATTTTTGTTTTCTTCGAAATCAAATGTAGTATTTCATGCTTTCGTTATTTTACCATCTTTTAGGGGATCCGTTGCAACAGGTGTGTCCGTTTCTTCAGAGACCCCACGTGAGTAAGTACCGCCATCTTGTGGGCTTCGATCTGATCCAGAACCTGAGCCGGAACCAGTCGATCCGACCAACGTAACGGAACTTAGGTTACTTGGAGATGAAGGTGCACTAATTACCGTATTATCTGAAATAATAACGAAAAATTAATATCAATAACCATAAGAAATATTTATCAGAATAAAATAAAATACGAAAGAAATTATTCGTGAATAAAAATACACTTCGATTAAAATCACTGTTTAATTACACTTAATTCAATTCTACTATCGAAATTATGTTACTTTATTACAATTCCTAGTACGTATACAACAATTTACATTTAACTTGTCTTTCCCTGAGTAACACCATTTGGTATCGAATAATTATACTTGAACGGGTACAAATAAGATTTATTAAAAAACGACATAACCTAAAAACACTGCATGCGTAACGCAGGGGTACCAAATTTGGTAAAATGAAAGAATACTAGAATGAATTATTTTCCAAAGAAAGTCTCGCAAGAGAAGAAAATTCCACAGTTCCAATTAATCTTTTACAAACAGAGAGGTGATTGCATTTAGGGTTATTCTATGATTTCTATCACTCCTTAAACGATTAATCGTAAGAACACGAACCAACGACAGAGAACGGCAGATTTTCACCGAAATTCAGTATCTTACCCGTGAGAGTTTCTGAACTCGACGATACAGCTATGACTTTCGGAATAGTTAAATGACAGCCGTCGTCTTCTTCTTTCTTTTCTTTGTCCACGCGAATGCTGATCTTTCGTGGTGTCGCTGGCGATTGAGAACCAGCCGACGCAGTGGACGACTGTATAGTGGGACTTCGTTTTATAATCGGAGGAGCTTCCGAAATCAAACCTAGTTGCTGCTCTTCGTCAACTAAAATAGTGATTAATCGACAGTTACAATTATTTCTAATGGCACGAATCAATAGAAGTCATAGAATAACTTTCACGTGTTTTTCCACAAACCCACATGATTTGCCAATTTTATATATCCACTTTAGAAGAGAATATTTCAATCGAAATAGACACTTTCGAGAATTTTATTCCGATTAATTTATTTTCGTTAAATCATAAATCGCGATTTCAATTGGAAAAAGCAAATTACTAGCAAATTACTGGTAAATTACTAGAGTAGAACAGAAAATAGTTTTGTCAAGGCTGAGCAGGTATTCTACTGGACCATGCAAGAATGTTGAAAATAATTGTAAGCTACTTAAGTATATATTTTGATGGGATGGAGCTACTTAAAAAAGAAATTTCAAATAATTAGAAAGATAAATTGATCGTCTTTGTGCGAATATTTTAAGATACGATTTACCATATTTCACTGTAAATATATTCGGTATAATTCTCTGTACTAGGAAAATGTATCTTGTTTTCGCAAATCTTCCAAATTTTCTTCGTCCTTAGCATGATTGAGAATTATAAAAAAAAAATTGAAGAAATTGAAAAAATCGTTCGTATTTAAATCTTTTGCAAAATGGTATCCAGTGGAAATAAAAATAAAAGAAGGAGTGAAGAACAATTTATAAAAAAAATTAAAAAAATATTCTTAATTCTTGAAAATCAATTATTTGTTGTCATTCTTCGTTTCTACGTATGGAGAGAATGTAGACTAACGCTGATTGCGAGCTTCTTATTTTAATAAACCATTTACCCTTTTTGTATCCAGTACTTCGCCAATATCCTCTCGTTTTCATAGTGTCACATGAACTGTGACTCTTTACTTCTCGACAGTCACTTATTTCGGATCCATACCCTGTATACAAAACCACAACAAACGTTAATTAACTATTAAATTAAAAGCATAAATTTATTTCTACATGACAAATGCTATTAATAACGAAGCTATCAAATCAAACAAATTTTCTGTTCATATAATTATTATTTTATATTATAATTTACAGTCTTACGATAATTAATGTTGATAAATTAATTTCAACTTTTATTCCAATTTTGTTAATATCTTTTTCATGATTCCCATTGCTAGTGTCGACATATTTTCATTTTATTATAATTTCTGTAGCTTTGTAAAATTAGTATCGAGTGTCTGATGTGCTTTTTAGTAATAACAGTTTAATTTATGAATTATTGGAAATCATACCGGAAACTGAACTAGCACCACTGATCCTGCGTGGTGAAATACTGCTCCTTCTTCTTTCATCCACGTGCAATTGCGAGTCTGTCGTGTTCCCACTCAGCACATCCAGAGACCTAGTCATATAATAATTGTAAATTATATTTTGCCACGAAAAATGTAAACATTAAATGCGATAAATTAATTAAATTATTTTTCACACATATTTACATTCGCATATTAACTTTCTCAACTGATACAAAAATTATCCTAAGGTACTGAACACTCACGATGCAAATATTTCAAAGTTTCGTCGAGTCGAAAGTCAAAAATTTCTTTAAAAACTGAGTTACTTATATACACTACAAAATAAATGTAATTGAGTGCATAATCTCTACTGGAAAATCATTTGCAAGATAGTCAAATGGGGTAAATTAAGAAATTATTGTACTCACACGAGAGATCCAGTAGGCATCTCAAAATCTGGTGGCTCAGCCTCGTAAAACACTTTCTTCAGTGCTTCCAACACTGTGACACCATCGGTGAACACTCGATACGTTAGCAGAAACGTATTCAGGAAGTCGATGCTGAGGAATCTCAAATCGGTTAGACGCTGAAGCAGACGTTCAGGTGTGGCTGATCGAATTTGCGGGATCTTGCAAGAGTTCAAGGTTCTACTGAACCTTATGTCAACGTCATCTTTGAACAGTTTTGGGTCGTTTCTGATTGATTGAGGCATCGTGACGGAACTAGTGTCCGACAACGAGCCTCGAAGTAAGTCGTTGAAGTGAACGTTGTCCATGCACTGGCTTATGTCGCTGATCCAAGCAGCTTTTTCCTGTATTTACCAATTACAAACAATTTTCCAATTTTTCCTATTCTTCTCTTTATTTTATATACGTGATATAGTATTTTTAAAACCTTATATCGATTTTTAAGCGCAGTAGAATTTCCATGATTCGGCATAAGTAGCCGCCATTATAATTGCGAGTCAAATTTCGCGCCAACAAAGATGTCGCCACTGCGTGCGTCAAATCTTCATAATTATCCAGTCAATGGCATTGACTATAGCCGTTTTCTTAAATATTTTCTCATTTCTATCGTATTATTGATATAATTCGATGATTCTACTATAAATATTCGATTATATTATACTTTTAATCGAAATTCTACTGCAAATACTACGTAACTTATAATTAATTTATAAAGAGTCGAAAATAAATATTAGATTCTTAACAATTATTATGGAACAAATTTTGCTAGTATAATTCTTGCTATCTAGTAATACAATATTTAATTACATGACAATTCTTTTGATTATATTTTTCAACTTAGTACTCATTTCTAACCTCTTTAGGTTACATGAAATTTAACGATGGCCTTTCTTCTTGTTCATAATCTTAACAGACATTAAATTATTATTATAAATTACGTGTGGACTTTGCATATAATTATTGTATGTAATTATACACTACATAAATAATAAATTACATACAGGATGTATATTATTATTTATTACTATTATTTATACTTCTCTGTTGTAATACCTGAATGGTAGGGGCTACAAGGTGCACCGTAACTTGAGCTCCACCAGATTTCAAATCGAGGATAATCTTGAAATCGCGGTTCTGCAGCTGAGTACTGGCACTTCCGCTACCACTGCCGCTGCTCTCGCTGATACCGCTGGACATCGAACATACTGACAGTTCTAAAATCAGTTCGCAGTCACGGCAATACTACATTAATTATGTATAAAGTATTTAACACACTTTTGCACAAGGCAGACCAGCCAAGGCGTGGCATGTCGGCGCAGCCCCAAAGCCAAAGAAGCTTGAAGTGTTGCAAATGAATACAAAGAAATTAGAAATTGAACAAAAATATATATCCTGCAGGAAAACAATTGCTTTAACTAGTGGTACACATACGTGACGAATTAACAATAGATAAAAGACAAATCAGGAAAACATACAGTAAAATGAAAATAGGAAGAGGAATATTTAAAGAAGCTCTAAGAAGGAAGTAGCAGAAATCTTGGAGAATTTTCAGAATACAAAATATTTAATAAGCTATTACAAACATAATGCATTCCACAAAAATTCTAATATTATTCAAAATATCAAGTTTAATTTTTAAAACAATTTTTGATAGAAATCTAATTTGCTTTTGAATGTACACATACATACACTGTGATTTAATTTCAGCCTAAAAGGATTTTAATTGCCAAACAAAATGAAAATGGAATTTAATATAAAATCTATCAACTAGTTAAGGATCAGAATAATAGTTTCATACAAAAGTTGTGAAAATTGCTGCTGTAAGGACAAGATTGTAAATCATACTAAATAAAATATTGTAGCTCTTGCCATTCCTAACTACCAGAATTGCCTAAGAATTTCTGTTTAATCACAACAATAAACCATTCACTGAGTGCAAAGGACCAAGCATTGTCGATCGCAGTAGCAAGAAGCTGTACGAAGCGTTAACTGGGGGATAATAATATTGTAATACCGTCATCATCCGCGGTATTCTGGTCGTTAGGATCCTCCACTAAGACCGCATCAGACAGTGGTATTTTGCCGATTTGTGGAACGAGATTCAAACGACCATCGTCGTCTGACTGACGAGTCGTTAGTAACAAATGATTGGAAAAGAGGAAACACTGTCTCACAGCTTCCTTATCTCCACCTTTTCCTCCGAATGTCGCACTCAATCTACTGCGAGCTCCTTTTGGCTTATCTATGATTTGAATGAGCGCACCTGAAAATAACGAAGAATTATTAGCAACAAAATCGAGAAATTTCGAAATTTTACTAAAAAATTATACGAAACTATTGTTATATTAATTAGAAAAAAATTAGATTCGAAAACATTAAATTTAATCTTCTCTACAACACTATAAAATATATAGTATATAATTCGCTATACTGTAACGAAGTCAATAATTAATCCTGGATCCTGGATCCTGATTGATCCTGGAAAAGATTAGTACGAAAATATTGACATAAAGAAATTGGATTTGAGAAAATTTATTTTTTATTTTTATACTGTTCAATTTGGATTTAATTCCTGCCTCTATTGTCACAGAAGGCAGCAATTAATTACTAGAATTAATAAAATAATAAAAATATTATGTTATCAATGGAAAAATATAAAACAATAAATTTCCAGGAAAGCAAGTATCCTAAATTATTCTAATAATATCAAATTCACAAAGAAAAAGACTTCGAAAATGAAACAAAAATTTTTCAAAATATTCCACCTAATTAATATCAATATTTTCAAAATCTTCGTAGAAATTTTCAGAAAGAATATTTTCCTAAAAGGGTAGAAAAATTATTATAGCTTATCCTTCAATTTTACTTAATATTAACACGCACACCATCACAAGGAACGTTTAATCACTCTAATAAAAATTAAATTTAATTCATAAATCTCTCACGTTTGATAATTTTTAATAAGAAAACGCGATCATTCAAATATATTCGGCAATCTTATACCTATTATTACCCTAATCGACTCTATATGCGCATTACTCTGCCAATGTTTCCATACAACAACAACAAGAACGAGAGTGAGACGTATCCCATTGTACCTGAATTTCCTTGATCCCTAACAGTGCCGTTTGTACACTTCTTTGGTCCCCGTTCCCCTCGAATTCTGCAGAAATTGGTATGCACGTCTTGAAAAGAAAACTACGCCATCACGTTTCTCGACTCGCGGGGAATCACCGATCGAACTAAGAAATGGTGCTCCTGTGTTTATTCGCGTCCATTTAACCCCATGAGACGCGTGTTGGTCAGCGACTCGGTGCGAATCGAGGATAATTTCGACGCTACTTTCTCTAATTTCCCTAGGCGTTACAAACGTAAAAAAATCCAGAAATTAAGCGAAAACACGAGAGCAAGTTCTCGCGGGCGGGGCTGTTCTTGTACACTGGAAAGGTGAAAAGACGTTTGCGTGGTAGCCATGTGATACGATATCAAACACGAGGAGTCAGGGCCGTGTCAAGGCGCAGGGTCTCTTATGTTCAAAGAACCTCGATATTTTTTTTATTATATTCCCAAGAAAATTTATAATCAATCCGAAACAAAATTTTCAATAAATACGACAATAAATTATTTATAACTTAAGTTCAGAATCTTGATAATTAGAGAAGCTCAAGATAAAATTAGAATTTTCTTCATAAAAATTTTTGGTTTTAAATAGAACAAATTTTTATTTTATATTCGCAGAAAGGAATATCCAATTATTTCTTTTCTTTCTCTCGTGTGAATTTTTGTGAGGGTTTATTCGAATAGTGAAGGATCTATGTTGATGTTAGAAGGTAGCAAGATGTATGTCAAAATGTGTTTACAGTTATCGGTACTGAATCTGTCAGGTGGGTGGTTTGGAAGGGTTTCACGAGAGATAATGATTTTGGAATTTCGAAATGCGTTTTCGAAGTAGTTGTTGACGTCCATATGACAGCCCTGATCGCGGTTGTTGCGCATGATCGAACAGATTCGGCGTAGATTACGTGCACACGAGTATACAACCCCATCGATTCTGGAACACTCAAGGGCGCGCTTGCGCCTCTGGCCACGAATTTTCACTTTTCATGGACTCCCCTGTCAAACTTCTGACGCTATGATCACGTGCAACTGGCTACAGAGAGACTTTACCGACTGTAGCAGAGAATTTTCTATAGATTTCCTCGGTCTGGGTAAAAGGAGACGAAGTATCGATGGGGTTGCGTTATCGACTCCCCTGGCGAAGGAAAAGAAAATTCCTGCTTTGACGAGTGATTCTCATTACCAGTGATCGAAACAGTGGGAAAATATGTGTTTGACAACAATTAATTGTAGCTAAGATGAAATATCGAAGCAACATAATTTAATTATTTGATTGGTATTGATAATACTATGTAATTTAATTAGTACTGATAAATAACTCAAATTCATAAGTTAGTTTTGATTAGTTTTAATAAACATTGTTTAATAATTAAAATTAATTATTGGATCAGTTATCATTACCAAATTAATTTTCATCTCTTTTTCTATTGTTATTTTCTTATTCAAACTTAAATTAATTATTAAACATATCAGATTTATAATACATAGAAGAAAAATTATTATTGAATTTTTGGACAAATGAATTGACAATAATCATTTTATTTGTTCTTTTCGTTTATAGCAAAATATATGAAAATAAAATTGTTTATTTGAGAATCAAAAATGCATATCTTTATAAATTATTGATCAAAGGTAATTTCATATGATTTAGAAGTTAGACGATATGTTTCTATATTTTTCAATTCTCTCGTATAATTTATTTGCTTTTGACTATAGTAATCTATTTCAGTACTTTTCTATTTTTTGCAATTGTAATTTTTATTCTCTAATTATTCTGAGATATTTGTATTTTATTATTTCATCGTCGCCATGAAGATGATCTAACCGCGTCAATTATTAATTTTTATTCCTTCAGAAGCAAAGAAAATTTTGGTCAAATCTATTTTGATTCAATCACTCTGCAAACTTTCTGTCAATTAGCTTGTGATTCCTTCTAACTTGCAATTACGCGGTATACATGCATCAACCGCCATTGGTTAAAACTTAGGAGTAAATAGATGCCAAGGGTGAGTTATAAAACACGAGAAAACATTTCGACCAACTTGTTCCAGTTAACTCGTAGTTACGTAAAACTGCCTTAATTTAAATAGAAATACCGCGTTTAATACTAACTTTGCTGACTCTGCTCATTTGCATAAACTTTCTCCGTCTCCCTTACGACAATTTATTATCTTGGTAAGGCACATCGAGGAAAGGAATAACATTGCTCACCCTGTCTGACGAATACTTGATTGACGTCGAGCAAAATGTCGCAGCCCTCGACGATCATTCGTTCCACAGCCAAATTCTTTCGCAAATTTTCTGTTTCGCTGACCTAAATTAATATTCATATATTAATAATTCTTCGTCAATTATTGGAACTGGATAATTTTATCAACAGGGAAGATAATTTTATTAATAAAGAAATTTGAAAAATTTGATTCTAATTTTTTCTTTGAGTAATTAGCAATTAATTAAATGCATTAATTAATACCTCGTCGTGCATCTGTCTGGATAAATCTTCCAACTGCTGTCTGGCGTTTTGCAAACTTTTTCGTTCAACATGATCATAAGGGGTGTGGGCCAGAAGCTCGTGCAGTGTAATAATGTACCTCGGAATCTGAAAAATAAATCCAGCAAGTTGTTTATAATAGTCTTGTAATGTACAATTTATTATTAATATACGAATCATAATAAAATTTACAGAATAAATAAATTATTATTCACAACGATTTTATTTATAATTATTATACTTGTACGAAATATAAATTTCATAACATCGTAGAGTTCCTGAAATAATTCCTAATTTTTATTACTTTTATGTTAAAAAATAATCTGATTAGAGATTTCAAATTGTTCAAATGAAAATAAAGAATATATCTTGGAATAATTATTAATATTTCTATTTGTGAGATACCGATGAAATTTAAATCAATTACAGATAGTAATTGTAAGACTAATTGTAAGACTAATTGTAAGACAAATTGTAAGTCATAATCTAGTTAAACTTACAATTAATTTGACTACATATTAAATCCCCAGCATTTCATCTGCAAAGGGAATACTAATCATACTTAAGCACGAAGTATATAACAAATGGGGACCTAGAAACGTGAGTACAATATTAATTTTCAGCAGCAGTAATCGCTTATCGTTTTGCAAGGATCAACTACATCGAGTATTATATACAGAGATTGTAGACGATACTATTTAATCCGATTAATTAATCTTGGGAAGATATTTGTATAATCTTCAGCATTTCTCTTTACTCTCACTGCTCCTTCCTTTTATCATCTTCTATTTCCTCCCTCTATTTATTTTATATACAAATTTATGTCAATTCGTATTCTGTGATAAATCATATAATAATTATTTTTAATATGTACAATGTTTTCCAATATTTCTAACAATCGAAAATTCTTAATATTTATATTATTTGAAAATTTTTTATATTTCTAATGTTGCAAAATAATTATTTCCAAAACCATGGAATTAATAATAAGCATATATATAGCACTATAATAATTTGATAATTCTAATCGAAGTGCTAGCATAAATAACAGTTAAAAAATGGAAGTTTTAATCATTTTTGTTGTATATTATTTGAAATACATTTTTACTTATTTTTAAAAATATTTTTCTCTTGTGATAAAATTAATTGTAGGAGATTTCATAGTCTGAAAGATTTTTAAGAGAAAATATTCAACAGATAATTGAATTTCGCTTTCAATTAGAAGATAATAAAATTTACATTGAATTGAAGGAGAGTTTATTTTTAAAGGAAAAACGATAATCAAAGTCATATTATAAGAAACATTTAAAGTGTTCATTAAAAGATCATAATACATCCAAATATGAAATTAGTAAAGCAAGGAAAGTTCATAATATATTAATCGCCCTAAATAAATTTTCCTTGAACATCGTTTTTTCAAAACTGCTTGTCACGTGTGCTGCGTGAAAAAGTAGCCAAAGTAGTTTCTGTGTATATATTGATTTACAAAGTATCGAAATAATTCAGCCATTAATAATAAATGCTGACCCCCTGGAACTTTTTCAGGCTGATAGTAAAAATAAATTATAATTTAAAGCAAATATACTGAAACAAGCATATGGATATACAGAGACCACATTTGTTTTAACAAAAGATGAAATTAAACAATCACTTATTTTTCAATCTCTAGATGTATATTATAATTCAATAAATATGAGTACAAAATTATTACAAATATCAAATAAAACGAGTAAAAAAGTACAATTAAAGAATTTAAAAGGTACAAGAAACAGTTAAAAATAATTTTAAGTATAACAATTTACTTTAAAAATAAGAATTTGGGGAAGATAACTAATAAAACTATTTTATTCTCGGATAAAATATTCCTATTGGAAATCTCTCATCTCCAAGTCACATTTTACTGATCGAGTACTGTCCAGATTTATAGCTGGTGATGATAGAAACTCGGTAAGCTGTTTGCAATGCTATCACTCTCTTTTATGCTTCAAATCAGTCAATAGCCCCAAAAACGTGACCTAAATATTGTTCGATCAAATACAAACTGACAAATTTGTAATCATTTCTCTGTGTATATTGAATGCATTAACCAAAACAAAATTATGCCATCGAAAATCAAATCAAACATTGTTGGTAAATATTCATTTAACTCCTGAATTTAATCTTTGCTAATAGTTACTTAAATAATTCTGTCAACTTTCAATTTTTAATGATGTGTACATAGAAATGTGTGTAAATATTTTGTATAAATTAAGTATTTAAAATTCTTCTGCATTTAAACATATACTGGATAATCAAAAAATTATTTTTTGATTATTGTCTACGCCTCCGATTAATTTGATATCTTATCATAGTAATAACATGACAATGAACAGGTATATGTGGAGTATACAATATACTTCAAGGATTACATTACAGTATACAGCATTATTTTTATAATAAACAAGTATTATTATATTTACATTGCAATTTAGTATTTTATATCGTGAAATATGTATATTACTCTTAAACTACAATATTTATAATTTAATTTATTCTTCATTTAATTGTGTATTACCCTTGTAATATAATATCGAATAACATCAAAGAAAAATCCTATTGACAGTTTAAATATTGTATGTGATTTGTGTACCATGTATTTGTGTCAGATATAAGTGTGTAGATTACAATTATGCAATAAAATTGCATGCAAAGCAACATACCTGATGCATAGGATACGTTAGAAAGGTCTCGAGAGAACGTCCTCCGCAAGCAGTCTTGTTCTCCAACCTAGTGAGCAGTGCAGCGAACGAAGATGATGATTGCTTGCACTCAGTCAACACTTGAAAACTGTAATGGTGATTCCTCACGTATTCTTGATAAATTGACAACATTGGTAGTAACATGTCGAACAAATCGCCTAAAATCGTCGAGCAAAATTAGTACTGTCACAATTACGTTCTGTTAATAAATTCTTCTATGCTGTCAAGTTGTAATTCACGAAATTTGGCAAATATAAAATTCAAAATCGTATAGTAAATATGAGAGAAGAGATAAATATTATACTATACTTGATAAAAATGAAGTTAGATTTTTAAGTGTATATTTAGTAGAATTTAGATGGTTTAATAATAAAATTAGTTGCTGATTTAATTATGAAAGACGTACCTAAAACTAAAGTGGGCCAGCTCTCCATACGAGAAGTGAGACCCTTCAGAAATATCTGATGAAGGAACAACACTGTTTCGCTATTCAAAAATATGCTATTCACATCCTCATGACTACAAGGGGGTTTCTTTGAACTGGCAGCCATCTTGAAAGGCCTCAAGAAACAGCTTACTAATATCTCCATCTGCTCTGTATATTCTTCTTCGGCTTCCACCATTTGAAATACCAAGCTGGAACAATAAAGAAATTCTCCTTGTCTTCTTTCTCTTACCAAAGACAAAAATATATGTGAAAAGATAGAAGGTGCATTGAAAATCAAATATTAACCTCATAACTAAAATAAAAATTATTACACCAACGTTAAAATAATTACAATGTTGTCATAAAATTTCCACAATCAAAAGTGAGTAAAAAAGGAAAAAATTTTCTTTCAATTTCAATGATAAAATTTCCAAGATTTTCTGCTTTTTAAATAATTCCCTGTGTTCCTCCACATCGCACTCATTAACTGTGCCAGGAAATTATTATAATTATAAAAATGGAAATACTTATCTCTTCGTATTTATCAAACAGTCTTTATGCAGTTGAAAATCAATTATTTTATCATAAATAATGTACTAGAAATTTTGCGAAACAATTTTAAAGAAGAAGCAAAAAGGACCTAATCTCTTTGTCGTTAAAATTCGTTAACTCCCCCAATTTCACGCCACAAAATTCTCTAATTATATAATGTGTCTCTCGCGTGCGACATGGAATATTTCCCGTGGATAAAATCCGCCACGAAAAAACGCGTTGATATTTCAAGCCATAAATTCAGCGTGGAGGAACGGGATAGAGGCGTTTCAATTATCACGATGCATTTAGTTTACCACTAGTGGCACACAGCCTGGCCAAAGAATAGCGAAGAATATTAATTTCGTTTCGGTACTAATTAGTTGTCGGGATAATTAACGCATCTCAACGTCGAAGACATAGTGCAATTAGCGTATCGGTCTCCCACTCAAAGCTAATGAGCTTCCGCTTCGTGGAGTCATTACTTCCAATATGTCTGGAAGGAAATGGCGCGGAGGTGGCACACTAGCGCTCCACGCGGAGCCGAACTATTATGGCCTCGTGCACTGGTAATTTCGTAAATCATTACTCGCCGCAACTGGTTTCATTACAGATTAATTGTTACGCCTTCGATGCTTGCTATGTTTCGTTGGTACGTTATACCGATTACTCGTTTCGTGAACATCGTTTCGGAAATTAAAGCGGGACGTATCGTATGTCGCGTGTGAGGTTAGGATCGTAACTAAATCGGTAACGTTAAATGTTAAATCGAAATTGGGCAAATTTTGGAGTTATTTCACGTGGAAAAATATACTGTAGGCTTTGTAATAGTATGTGTAAGTTTTAAAATTTGTGTGACTATGAATGTATTATGGGTAAGTCGACTTTAATTTGTGAACGAGTTAGGTTAATTTTTATCGCGTAATTATTATATGTATGATGCTTGGATATTAATAATTATAAATTAGATATGGTGTTACAGTTAACTTATCTTTTAGGCATAACTCGTGGTACATAGATTGAAGCTATTCTGTGATTGGGAGATATTGTCAAGGAGAATATTTGCCACTGTGTTTAGAAGACAAAAATGTTAATTGATATGAATTATTATTTCAATTTTTATTTGGAATATCAAATTATATTTATAGCGTATATAAAAGTATTATATATACAAGAGATAGAAAAATACAATATGTATTTAAATTGAATAAAACAAATAACAGAAATTAAGTATAATTCCAGTTTACTATTTTTCAAGTGTTAAATAAATTAGGTATATTCACTGAAAAATGTTAATTAAAAACGATGTTTAATTTATAATATTTCTGTACTATGATATGTGTTTACAGAATTCAATATTCAATGATTATGTTAGTTGAATAGGTAAATTTATTTTAGCATTCCCATTCTCCCATGGATAACAAAATTTTGCTAAAATCCTCTTATTATCTGAACTTAATCCCTCACCTCTACATCATTCCCCATCAATGCATATTTTATTCGAATTTAGCTTCATTAATGGACCATAACGGAATGAAAGCAATTTGTTCATCGTGATCAACTGACTATTAAATCATGATTTCAATTCTAATCATTATATTGTCAATTGATTTATACTACTAATTACATTTCTACTCTGACTTCCGATAAACTTTTCTCCATTTTCCCTGCCAGGACTCCTATGCGTGTATTTCCACTTCGTTATTAATGTAATTAAAATAAAAAAGAATAAGAGCAAGGCTTGTATGAGTTTAATAAATACTCACGTGTATAGGAATAAAGGATTCACGAACTTTTAGAAACGAGTAACGATGAATTACCAACGTAACAGCGAATCCCTATCTGGTAATTAAACATCCTTTGAAATTCCGCAAATATTGTTACTGACATTTCACGACTGTACATACTGAGTTATTCCAGTTAAATTATAATTGTTATCGATCAAATTATTGCCATTATTACGGATTATTTATTCGGAGAAATACGATTTTACACAGTAGTGCAGGATAATTAAGGTACCGTTTATCATTATTACCATTTCACTTATTTGAAATTTGCGTTAGTTTCTAAATTATTATACTGAAAGTCGAAGAAATGGATAAAACAATTCCTACCTGTTCCGCTTACGCATGCTCTCCGCATGAGGGCTCTTGATGTACTGCTCAACGATTTGCTTCCAACGCCTACGGCACAGCCAGCCCCTGAAGAAGCTCTGTACCTTCTTAATTTTCTGCATCTCGATGGAGCCCTCCGTTATATCCCGTAGTCCAAACATCGAAACTCCTGAACCGTGTCCTTCGGAGCCAAAAGGAGATCCAGACATGTATATGCTGCCAGTGCCTTGGGACATGGTCCTTTGAACTCCTGGCCTCCCCGTGTACGATGCAGCTACAGGCCTCAGCTCCTTCTTCAGGGCGCATAGCTGGAAAAAGGACGGATCTCGTGTACCAAGAATCAATATGGCGTTCTGAAGAACTTTGAAACGTAGAGAATCTCTCTTCTGGTAAATTTGACAAATCTATCCTCCATGAATATTATACCTACGTAAATATATAATATTTTAGAACTTGTTTGAGAAAAGTCTGAATATTAATACAGATATTTAATATTATTATATTAACATTTGGAATACAATAATATTATTATGTTAAATATTAACCCTTTGCACTCGACGACATTTTCGTTACAGAGAAATAGTAATTCGAAGACTTTCTGTCATGAAGTCGACGATATTTTCAAAACGGTGAATAAAAAATCGTATGCAAATTAAGATATAGAATTATTTTACTTCGATGTTCCACGCATCGTTGGGTAATTTTAATAATTTCAATTTTATTATAATTTGATACAATAATTAACATCGATCTTTAGAATCTGATTAAATGGCGACTGAGAACTCGTCTCTCGAGTGCAAGGGGTTAAATATTAAGTATTACAGTATTAAATATTAAATCTCTCTTATTTAATTTTTTATTAAATAAATATCCAATATCAATAGATATTGAATAAAGATTTAAATATATATACGTACGTGAATGAAGATAATTGAAAGTAATTAATATGAAACCCTTAACGAGGACATGAGTTAATTAATTTACGTGTAATCAACTTGTAATAAAAGTCAGGTGTAGTTAAAATGAAGCTAAGAGCATGGAATCTTCATTATAATATAAACACGTCAGTCTTTTTCACGTTTCGAAACATACAATAGACTTTCCATTCTCGCAATTAATATGAAAACACGTTTTTCTAGGTCAGGCAATTTTTCCCATCCTACTCATATTGATATATTTCACAGAATATTACATATTAATTATATTAACGAAGAATAATATAACAAAATTAATTAAAAATTTGTAAAACCTGGAAAAGAAACATATATACATCTATCAAACCATTTTCATAATTATTTGCAGAGTTACACTCAAAGACACAAGGAAATTAAATTTCAACGTATAAATAATAGAATATGTAAATATAATCACCATCACTGCCATTTTAGGAAAGACAGGAAAATAAAATTTCAACACACATCTGATATTTATGATTAGTCATAATCATAGTGAAAAGGGGAAGGAAATAAAATGTAAACGCGAATTCACGGGCCAAAAATCTGAAAAGTAAGTTAATTCCGTGATGTCAAGATTACATCGATCTAGCTTACTTCAGCCCGAAGCTTCTTTATTTCCGACGCAAGCTCCTCGCATTGCTGCGTGTACTGCCACTTAGCTGTCTTCTCGCTCTCGACGATCTGCAACAGGTGCAGGTGCTTCTGCTCGAGTTCCTCCTTTTGCAACAGCAATTTGTTGAAACTGCAATCAATAACCAAGTTGGTGGTGAAACAGATACACCTCACGCCGTATTCACGTTCTAATTGCATCAAAACACACCGCGATTCCAACTGGATGGAAAATTTTAATACAATCTCGATCAACAGGATTTGACGGATTTAACCTGAGAGAGACGTGTACAATGTGTAGCAGTCGTGAATGACACGATGATAAATTTCAAACAGCACCGATATGTTATTTGCTCTAGTTTTGCTCGTGAAAATTTATTTTTATTCTGCTCCATCTCTTTTTTCATATTTTTCGAATTCCTTCCGTTCGGTTTTATACGCGAATATTAATTTTTATATCCTTCCTTTATAATATTTTTGAATTGTTATTTTCTTTTCGATTTTCATATGCGGATATTAATTTTTATTTTATTCTTTCATATTCCTGGTTCGTTATATTTTTCTTCCCCTTCACCATGGATATTTTATATTTGTCCACGTTTTCACTACGTATTTCGTATTTTATATTATTTGTTCGCGCTTATTTCCGGGAAGATATTTCTAGCTTGATTTTTGTAACATTTACGACAATTTTGGAATGATATAGGCATTACTATTTTTATTATTTCTATTATATAAAATTTCTGTAGATAATACGTTTAAAAATATACTTCAAATAATAAATATTTTTATATTTTGATCAATTTTGATTTATATTTATGTGTATTTATATTTTCACGAAAAATAATATTTTTTTAAAAAAGTGTATAATATAACATTGATATTTTAATTTGTAAATAAACTCATGATTTATAGATGATTTATTTTATGACATAGACAGCCAGGGAATTTCAGATTTGATGCAACCAATAAACCACATTCGCATTTATCTCGGAATTTCCTATCGTGGAACAAACAACACGTCATTTATTCGAGCTGCCAAATCAAAGCTATCATACGTTGCCATAAAGGTGAAAAAAAGAAATCGCTATGGGAATAGTGTCACGAGATAGATGCCATTTTCTGTCAACACCAGAAAAGAATATATTCATACAGTACACTCACGTTCTATCATTCTAATTTTCCTTAACCAAGCGTCTAATTTGAATTTATAGAAATAAATATCTCTATTTGTGACATAATATAATAAATAATGATAATAAATCGATTTAAATTTTAACGCACAATAATTCGATTAATTAAAATTATCGTACGTGTTGCAATAAAATAATTTAAATCAATTTACTGAAATTATAATAAAAGATCTCTCGTTCCATTCAATTTTAATTTTCCTAAATTTTCTAAATATTCAATATTAAATTTAAATATTTTACTAGAGAAGTCCATTGCAGTAGTTCTAACAAAAATTGAATATTTATTTCAATTACAGTTCGAATTTTCTTAATTCCATCAAATTTAATAAATGAAAATTCCAAATAAAATCAAAATTATTATTGAATTTTACCTACTCTTCCTAATTACGGTATTTTAATAAATACCAACGTTTCCGTTATTATATTTACCCCGATAATTTTGTAAATTTTAATCATGCAATAACGTTACAATTTTTGAATTTTAATAATACGCTTTCGTATTAATTTAATTATTCAACGTAGTAATACGTCATAACATGATACGGAACGATATATTCGAATTAATTTCTTGCTTAGTACATTATCCGTTTATTTTAAGCATATTCAAAATCGAAATTCCGTATGAATAGAAATCTATAGGGACGTGGAATAATAATAGTAATAAATAATTTCAAATAATTCAATGCCACTACACCTTTATATGCGAATAAATTATCAACACAGAGAGTCAGACGACACATTCTAAGTAGTACGAAGGCGGTATTGGTCAGACGACGACGTCGTGTGATGATTAAACGTGTCGTATCACTAGCTATCGGTGATCACCTTTGTATACAATCATACAACGATTAACCCTTTACATTCGATGATCTTTTAGCTAGAGAAGAGTAGAAATTCGAAGATTCTTTATTGAAATACTGACGACACCTTTTTGAACAGTAAATATAGAATTGTATAATAATAAAATTATTTAATTTCGATACCTCGCACGCTATTACATTAAATTTGACATATTAATCAATATCGATCTTCCAAATTTTATGAAATGGCACTGAAGGTCACCTCTCGAGTTAAAGTGCTAAGGGTGCAAAGGTGCAAAGGGTTAATTTCATCGTCACACTTCGCTGAAACTTAACTCAAACCAAATATAAAATAGGATACCCATTTTTATTTTTCCCGAAGAGAGCATGGATCAAAGGCATTGCTGGCTTGTTTCGGCGAGAGAAGGGGGAAAAGTTGACGTAGAACGTGCGACGTGGAGTCAAAAAATGCGTCAGTGACAGATGGAGAACGGTGTGCTCGTTTGACACACCTGGAGTCATTGCCAGCGCCATCACGTTCGTCAGACGGGAGAAACCATTAAGGCACTAACGCGAAAAAAGGATAGAGAGCAAGCCAGCCACGATCTAGGAATTTATCTTGCGTATGCGAGCCGTGCAAATAAAAGAACAGAATAATCTCGCTGCTCGTTTTTCAGGGTGCGAGAAAGAGCAACGAGTTCCCGTTCCCTTATTTATTTCCTCGCCTTTTTCGCTGTTGCCAGACACCATTTTTCCTAATATCCGAAAGTGCTTTGACTCGGGCTGCGAGGACGCGAAGGGTGCTGAGAGAGACGTGTCCTCGATGGAATTATTCGTCGACGTAGGTACAGTAAGCATATATATAAAAATGTAGCTACCCCTGATCGATACAAAAGCTCGGATAAAATATAAACATTCCAGGAAATTAGCGGAAAAGTTGGAATTCCTTATCCCACAGCAATTTCATTGTTGAAATCTCTTCTCACGGATTTCATCTGACAGTCTACAGAGAGGCAACCCACCTCCGCAATTTTTATGCTCTTTCGTGGAACACGACTACCAGGAAAGCACCGTCAGCTTTATTAATTCCGCAGAATAATCTAAACGAAAGTTCTAACAGCCAATATTCATCTCTCGTTTAGCCAGAGAGGGAATAATTCCACGTAACTGTGTGAACCACTGCTCTGTGTCAACGAGCATCGTCTAATTAACCTGCGTTGTCGTGTCATGGAGTGCCTCTTAACTCGCGATATACGAATTAATTTCACGGTATCTTCTTGGTTCACTCGCGACACGGTCATTTTAATCATAGTAATATCCAACTACGAATTACACGTGGGGTAGTTACCTGGCTTCTCGTATAGCTTCGATCCACGTTTTGCATTCGGACTCTGTGGCTGCCTTCAGCTCGTACTGCCGTTGATTCTCCCTTCTGTAGGATATCGCGAAACAGTGCTGGAACAGATCACGATGAAGATTTAATTAATTACATTTATCTCGCAGAATTTTTCCTTCGTTCAACCCTTAACGCTCCAAGTTTGCCTCTTACCGATGTGCTGCGCTCTATTCCAAACGTATTTTTGGGTCGCTCAATTATACTCAATTATAATTGATATAAATATGGTAATCAAAATTATATTACTTCCAAGATGAATAAAGATTGTTTTGAATGACTTTAATATTATTATTTACACGTCTGTATATCGTCAATAGGTCGACCGCAATTAGCGACGGTTAATGACGAACCAAATCTCTTGAGGAACTTGTGTTTTTAGTGGACCGTATATTTTGTAATAGTTCCGGTTAACTCTTCTGAACTCTTAGAATGTTATTCGCTGACTGACTGGTACTGACCAAACTAGCTTGTGCGATGCACGATCTTTCGGAGCACATGGTTTCCAAAGGGAAATCGGTTTTCCCATTGGTGGTTGACAGGACCGAGGGTGGGCCCTCGGTCCGCGAATCAGATGCCCCCAAAGAAGGGAGGACCGTCTTCCGTGACCAGGTCTGCCGATGGAGGAAGCCTCTCCCTCAAAGGGGGTCGCTGGTGGGCCACCCGCACATTCGTGATCCTTCCTGAAGGACCCGTTACTTTATGGCTCCGAAAGTCGCGACATCGCACATGGCCTGGTCCCTTTCTTTGCTGGCCTATTGTCAGCCAAATCCTAAGTGCTGTTGCCTGCTTTCTAACATTAATGGCTAAAGAAAGCCTCGTGTCCGGTGACCCGAGGGAAATGAAGAATTGTTTGAAAATGCATTGAAAATGAAGATAGAAGGGACACGGAACTTGAACTAAAACAGCAATTAGAATCTGGCTGCCAGAAGACCCTAACGGTCTTCTGGGCCTATTATAAACAAAGGGCCGAATGTAATACCGGCACGACATTCCAAGGCTTAACAACGTCATTGTAGCATTTAAAATGTGATACTTCAAAACTTGAAAGTCGAAGTATGATTAGAATAAGTTGGAGTTGTCGGTCGATATTTACAGTTAAAAGTCGGAGCGTTAAATTCTTTTATCTAAGTTCTAATTATCGGCAGTATGACACTGACTAATTGTCACAAATATTTTCCAACTTTTTAACTCTGAAGGGGTAGGCGGAGAGAGATAGAATCGAAGGAAAAATCCTCTCGAACTGTTCATTAGACACGCGTTGTTACGCCCTCTATAACCTCAAACTCTCTGCCAGGCTCGTTCACTTGCCCTCGTTATCCGGTATCACGCGACAGGGTCCTGGCAAAGGAGAAGAGCGACATGATCTTCGTCCCAGTGAAAGAGTGATGCGGTGAAATACGTAACGACGATATCTCGCGATTACAATTCCTTCGTGTCGAGGATCGGGACAAAAGATTTGAAGTTCCACGATTTCTTCACTGAACTGTCATCTTCTCTTTGGGAAACCTCTACGAGGTTACGAGAACTGCCTAGGTTTCGGAGAAAATTACGTGCTTCCTGGCAAATATATTCACGTGGGTACCTAGTTCGAGACGACACAATTTTCTTGCAGGATAACTAAGTATGCTAAATAATTAATGTTAATTATAATCAATTTGTTTGAAATAAAATTAAACAAAATTAATAAATTAATTTATTCTAAATAAAATTAAACAAAATTAATAAATTAATTTATTCTAAATAGAATTAAACAAAATTAATAAATTAATTCATTCTATAAAATATCGAGTAATATCGAGTAAATGATTTGATATAAATTAAATTGATATAAATATAATGATATATAATAATTTTTTAAAGATACAATTTTTCATATTTATTAAGACTTGATTTTTTAATTTATCATGTTTTAATAGGCTTTTAAAGTAATGGATTTTCTCTTTGTTCATCGATTGAACTAAAATATATTTTGGAATTTTAGCTCCTGATTTGCAGACAAATGAATTTGTATTTAATTATTGACTAACAATAATTATTAAAATATACTTGGTTTTTGATTTACCTAAATTATTAGATATTACAAATAGATTTTGGTAGCTATATTTGCTGTGTATATACAGGGTGTCCCAAGAAAATTTATACACACGTTAATACCTTATCTTTCTAATTTATTTTTTCTTTTCTAGATACAACCTATTTAAAATAATGGCTGATTTCAGACTAGACTTTGAAAACGTAAATATATTTTAAAGTGCCACCATAAGTGTGAAAACATACTGAAAGTGCAAGGACGGTTTAATTAAACGGTAAAATATATATTGCTTTTATAATCACTCAAAGTGTGCATACATTTTTTGGGGACACCCTGTATTTTTCTTAAATTTCAGATAATGCTTACCATTCTCGTGCTTTACAAATTTTATAAATTTATAAATTGGAGGAATTGTATAATTTGCAAAGAAGGTGCATTAAGTTCGTTGAAAGCAGTGTCAGGTATTTGTAAATACTGGCTTATTATTTACTGGTATATTCCAACTTCGTGTCGTAAATGAGAAATTAACCACATAATCCAATTTCAAACTTCACTTGTAGTACAAATTACTCTCGGTTAGTCCAATTTCAAGTTGAGAATGATATCTACCCGCAAATTCTACTTGCTCATTATGAACTTCGTGGTAGTGGTTGACGTAGATTTTAATATATACAACTATGTAAAAATGAAGGATATTTGTAAGAACGGATGAATGGGATGAGTATGCATGGAACGTAAATGTGAGCGAATGTGGGTTGCTATGAAAAACGAGTATGCGTATAATGAATGAAGTGTGGTATGGACTATGTATATTTATGCAATGTATGAAAGAAGAGAGAACAAGTGAAAGAGTAGTGGGATAGGTTAGTTGCAATTCAAAATTCATTGAGAGTAGATATGAGAGTGAGTATGAGTACGAAAGAGTAAATTAATTAAATAAAAGTAAAATAATAATAATTAAATAAATATTCATTATATTCGTACAAATATATTATCCATTACTCACAAATTTTATTAGTATAATTTTAAGCACATCAATTTTGAATGTTGCTTTTCAATCTTAATTAGAGAGGCTACAGAACTTGATTGTCTTTATCGTAAATAATTGTAAAATGTTGAAAAATGCACTTTTTAAATGGTATTGCAATTCAAATGCTGACGAAATCTATTATCATAGAGCAACAATTATGTAATTAACTCATTACCATACCCTTCGACTAATCACACCATGTTCTAGCTTAATTCCTAATTTGGCTTTATTACTGTTCAGTCCCGACTGTCTTGCACTCGCTAATTAAAACATAAACGTGAAGGAACCTAATTAACCTTTCTGTTGTAGCACCCTCGTAAGTGAAAGCGACCTTATGTCATGAAACGAAGAAAAGTCTGGCAGAACATGGCAAACACCTATACACCCATTATAATTATGCTGTGGATTTTAAGGAAACTGCAACCGAAATGGAATTTTAGAAAAATCGTCAATTACGAGGATATTAATCTTCCTAGGCAATTAGGCATAATTTTGTATTAATTCCCAATGTTGACAATTTTTCTGTGAGAAATTAAAATCAATTATCGAAAGAAGAAATTATAGCTGAAGCCCTGTTTAATAAGTAGAAATATTATGTCATGAAACGAAGAAAAACCTGGCAGGACATGGCAAACACCTATACACCCATTATAATTATGCTGTGGGTTTTGAGGAAACTGCAACCGAAATGGAATTTTAGAAAAATCGTCAATTACGAGGATATTAATCTTCCTAGGCAATTAGGCATAATTTTGTATTAATTCCCAATGTTGACAATTTTTCTGTGAGAAATTAAAATCAATTATCGAAAGAAGAAATTATAGCTGAAGCCCTGTTTAATAAGCAGAAATATCTTCGTCAATTTTCCAATATTCCTTTTCCTCGTAATCTTCCCTTTTTAATAAATTTTCCCTTTCTTTTAATTTCTTACTCAGATTTACTAAGAACGTAATTAATAATGGAAACTGAAAACTGGTATTTATGTTCGTAGATTAAAACATAATTATTGTTATTTTTCAATATTTGAGCAATTTTTTTATCTAACTTTCGATTTGGGAAATTCATAAAGAAATTAATAATAAATTTATTGAATGATATCAGAATACTCAATGCTTGAACTACTCAGAAACTACTATAATATCGAGTATTGAGTCATGAATACTTGGTTACTTAGTACTTAATCAAAAGTATTAGTATTGAGTACTCTGTCAAAAATATTAGACTGCTCAATAGAAATCAAATAATTACAGATACTAAAGTATAGAATACTATAAAACACTAGATCACCCAATACTTAATGAAAAGTATCACAGTATCGAATACTCGAAACGCCAGACTACTCAGTACTTAATAAATAATATTAGAGTACTAAATCACTGAATCAAAATATTGCCAAAATTATTTCAGTGAGTTAATTAAAAATGGAACACAAGTTCGAAATTATTCCCATAAGAAATAATTTCTCTGCCAAAAAGGAGGTATTTCCGAACTAATTACCGAAAAAAGTCTGCCTACTATTTACTATTCAACTATTCGGTAATCCCAAGCTTCTGCGCCATTACACGATTTAACCCACACTGATAAATTCGCTGATAATTCCCAAAATGCGTTCTACGATTTACAATGTACCACGGAGCAGGCATGCAAAATGCATAAATGTGGGCTGAATAAAATATGCGTGATGTTGAACCAGGCGTTAAATACATTCCGTCCGATCACTCGTAATTGTACATTTTGCCGTATTGATTCAAGCGCTCCATTATAGCCTGCGACATCGCACTCCGGGTATATTGTCAAGCGTGATCTACACGAGAGCGCAGTGGCGGCCCCACACGCGGCCAAATGTAAACGAAACCTCGGCTCGAGGTCGACAACGATTGCTCCGCGAAGCGTGCTGTGCACGATCGAAGGTGTGCACGAACCGTTGGAATGAAATTATGCCGGTGTTTGAAACTCGGAGCAGCCCAAACTTGCAGCGATACTAGCGACAATCTAAG